CACAGGCGACTGCACAGAGACTGAAAGAAGAAGAGAGGCAGAAAGAGGGATTGAGTAGCGGAAGTATGGCAAAGGAAAGAGCGGAAGGGAGGAAGAAAGGAAGAGCGAAAGGAAGGAAAGAGGGTAGAGTGGAAGGAAGGAAGAGTGGAAAGAAGGAAAGGAAAGGAAAAAAAAAGAGGAAAAAAATCCTTAGGAGAGAGAAAGTTTGTCCCCTTGCCCTCGTCTGTTGAAAAACAGGAAAACTAACATTCTTTTGGTTCTTTCGTTTTCATTGCTCTCAACGGAAAATATCTTTCACCACAGAAGGGGGAAAACAAATAAAAGCCCATTCTTTTTCATGAATTCAATCCGTTTTATAAGATCTTGCATCTGTTTAGCTGCAAGGCCTGGTATTTTTATTAGACATGTATACATTATATAAATGTTGCCATCTTGATTGCAGGCGAGTTTGCTTGTGTAAAATAAAACCTGTCTACAAACTGAATATAAAAAATTAAGTTGTAAGATTTGACGCTCTCATTCTAACTTAGAGCTCGACCAGTAGCGGGGATTTTGAGTACACAAAGTTTGCACAGCCTTTTTGTTGCACGTGGTGCCTGATCCAGCAAGGAGTTCTGGTGCTGTGGTAAATTGGTAAATTGGTAAATTAAATGACAATCCGGTGCAGTATCAAATAACAGAAGCGTTGCTTGCAAAGAGATGCTCTCTTTCTTTCTTTCTCTCCTGCTTCTTTCTTTCTTTTGTTTTCTTTCTTTCTTTCTTGGTAAAAGTAGGCAGCAATAAAAATGTTTCTGATCACAGATGCTCTGGTGGCATTACGAGACATTTTAACGTCTTACACATTGCATCACAATGGTTACTAATATCCCTTTCTCTAACAATCCTTGCAGGAGATCGCAATCATACAGCGACCCCCATTTGACTGCTTTCTGGACTGAGGGTTATGTCGATGATCAAGAGTAAAATGGAGAAAACTTGAAAGGTAGAAAGTATTGGCGTGGAAGACAGAGTAGTATGAAAGCAACCAAAAAAATAAAAAAAAAAGACTTGGTCTTGAGACTTGTTTGATAGAGCGAAAATGAGACGTAGCTCGTGGAGGGGCACGATAGCCAGCTTTCTTGCCTCAGAAAAGATTCATAATATAACATTTTTCAAAAGGGAAAAAGGAGAGAAAAAAAAAAAAGCATGGGTGATGCTCGAGGCTATTACATGCATATCATAAAAACTTTTGGTTTTGAGCAGTTTTACGGTATAAGTACTTAAACAGCGCCGAAAGATTGCAAAAGAGAAGGATGGATTGCAGGGAAGCATAGTTAATAAATGAGAAAGAGGAAGAAAAAAATATATATCTGTTATATAATTTGCATGGATTTTGTTTACAGCTGAAGGTCGGTGACATGAGGAGTCTTCCCAACGCGTTCATGAAACATGCTTTGTATCCTTCATACGCAAAATAAACAAATACAAATGCAAATAAATTGAAAATCATTGCAAACCAGATTTGTAAATTAGCCTTGATGGTTCATGATCGGTCCTGTAACGTTTCTTGCTCTTGTCTACTTCTTGCTTGAAATACACCTTCACTCCTCTTTTTTTTTTCTTTTATTTGTCTCTCTCTTTCTTCTTCTCTCTCTCTCTTTAGCATTTCTGTATTATCTTCCTCTTCGTTTATGTAATCAAACTCTGCTTTTATACATGTTTCATTCCCCCCTTTTTTTTCCTGAAGGCCAAATCTCTTGGAGCATCCTTTTTGTGTTTTCTCTCCCTTTTTTTTTTTTTTTCTGTTTTTCTGGTCAATATGCATCATAGAGCCTCTTGAACGTACGCTTAAGTAAGAAACGCCTGCAGGGACTATGCTTAGGCATTCGAGTTAATTATCTTCCACCATCCAATTACTTCTCCTTCCTTCTCCCTCCTCCTCTTTTCTTTCCTTTTTCTTTCTTTCTTTCCTTTTTCTTTTTTCTTTTTTCTTTTATCGTGGTACCAAGTTGAGTGATGACCTTGCTGCTGCTGGAGAAAGTTCTGGCGTTATGTGGTTTTGGATTCCACCAGCCGCAAACTTCTCTTTATCGAATGAGAGCCCATCACGAGGTAAGTTGCTTCTATTTGCAGCAGTGACGGATCCCAAGTTATTGGCGCTAGAATGTCGATCCGGTGTAGCTTTGTGGGGGCCCTTTAGAGCAGATGTGGCGGCATAACTGATGCACTGGCGCTCGATTTTTTGGTGATGTCTCCGGACGAATACACTCACCAGAGTCACACAAGCAATCAAGAGGACCGTTCCAATGATACCGCCAATCACCATTAGCGATAATGTTGTCTTATGATCATCCATGGGGTTTGATGAAGAATTACCATTGCTTCCGTTTCCTTCGGACGTGATTGGGGCTGTCGTTTGGTAATCCAGCAGACCCGCCGTACCCATTATTAGTAGCACCATTGGCGTAGTAAGATGGAGGGGTGTAGGATGAGATGTACTGACCACTGTTCAGATCGTAAAGGACGATGGTACCGTCTACGGTCCGCTGACCGTTATTCCCACCCCATGCTAAGAATATTGAACCAGCGACAGTACATGTAGTTGCAGTTCTGGGCTCAAACCAAGGATCTCCCTGTGTCCATGTGAGAGAGGAAACATCCAAGATCCAAAGGTCTCTGGCAAACGTACCATTATCGAATCGACCGCCGAATACAACCACCTTACTGCTATCGTCGCCTAACGAAGATAAAAATAAATAAATAAATAAAATAAAAATGAAAATGCTGCTATAAAGAAGCCTTGTGAGGTATGTCTCCTTCTGTAACTTACTTGCAGCCATACAATGGTCTACCCTGTGTGGTGGACTTTGACCGCTGGTATTCTATGAAAAATTTCAAATACAAAAAGTGTAAAGCCTGAGAAAAAGCTCATTTGCGTCGTAAAGGCATGAGACGTAGGAAATGGTATGGGATCTCAGCACTTACGAGGGTTAGCCAGCCTCCATTACTCGGTGTGAACTCGGAAATCACATTCTGACTGGATTGGTTGTTGTTTGCCGTTCCGCCAAAGTAGATGATGCTTCTACGGCTTTTGAGGTAAACGCCTGCATAAAACAGTCTGTCTACCATATAATTACTAGGCATGGAGAGCATGGTCATGGTGTCTGTGTCGATGTTGTAGACGTACATCTGTGAATCATCGCTCTGATATCCTCCCGCTAGATAGACGAGACCAGAAACAGGATCTTGAACGGCACGAACGCCCTCTTTAGTAGGGTTTTGAACCTTGACTACAGATTGATCCCAAGAATTGCTGAGAATATGGTACCTGTACGAGAGAGCCGAGCCCGAAGCTGAGGAGGTGGCTCGGAACGTGACCAGAGTGTTCTCGTCCGTAGAAATGGCAGCTGTGTGCATTGCTTGAGTAGGACCTTGTTTCAACCCAATCCAGGTTGGGCTAGCAGCATCCCAGGCAGTGGCAAGGTCGAGGGCAAACAATTGATTTTGCTGTGCGACTGTATTCCCATTAAGGCTGACGACACCCCCTTGTACATAAAGTTTTGTTCTTGAACGAACGAATGCGGCGCCATTGACGGGAACTGGTGTATTTCCTATAATCTGACCCTGTGTGCAGATAATGTTTTGTAAAGGATAGGGAAGCGAGTGTCAAGAAGGATGTGTGCCGCATGTTGCTACTAACTCTGTAAAGATGTGCTTGTGTGCTTGTGTGCTTGTGTGCTTGTGTATATTATAAAACGCGTGGCTATAATGTATTAGTTTGAAGGGATACAATTGATACAATTGATACAATTACAAAAATAAATTGACAAATGAATATGAAAGGGCGGTAAAGTAAAAATGAGAGAAGGGTATGAAGGGAAGAAAGCGAGGTTGAATTGAGGAATGGGGAATAGAAAGTTGCTGCTTTTAAATAGAATCCTGTTGCAACAACACACACAACAAAATCATATACTATCGGGATGGCTAGTGCTCATTGTCAAATGAAAAAAAGTGTTTTTTTTTTTTTTTTTTTTTTTTTTGCAGAGATCTTTATTGATCAAGGAGGCAGACAAAGGCAAACAGAGAGGTAAACAGATGGAGCAGAGCAACCATCCAGGATATAGGTACATCCATCCATTTAGTCTGGGTCTCATGCATCGATCTGTTTAAGAAAGTGTTTGTTGGGTATAATAATACATAGACATTTGAGATGCTTTCTTGACTTTGAGTGTGAAGAGCACTTTGCACTCATCTCTTTCCACAGGAGGTCACTTTTTTTTTGTCAACTCTGACAGAGCTCACTGGCACTACTTCATTCCAAGGGGGTGATACATTTCACTCTACGAGCTGACGCGCAATCAACGAATTTTTCCGTAAACGGTGGCTCTGAAGCCCCTTATTTACTTTGCAAATACTGTAGAAGCAGTAGGATTTTTATTTTAAGACTGATTTTCAACGAATGGCTCCAAATGGTCAATGTTCCACCCTCAAAGGACACGTTGACTGGGTTAAGAACCTGTTTCAATAAACCACTCTTTCCGCTGTTCAGCCAGAGTTTTTGCCAAAAATATAAACGTGTTATTTCTATGTCTACCTCGGCAATCAGTTACACGAGACCCCGTGCTTCCAAGCCGTTGCCGTGGGCATTTTGCTCTAATTGTCTAAGCGAAAACAGCTAGTTTTGATGTCTGGTGCGCCAAGAGCCAGATAGAGGGTCGCAAACACGAAAAGATATCACTCTGACCGATGAGAACCGTGAGATGCTAATTTAGCAAGGATGTAATAGCAAACCGCATCAGCAACAGTAGTCTTTTGCTAGCATGTTGAAGTAGCACAGCCAGAATCCCTGCTTTTGAAGTGTTCTCCTTACAGCCACCGAAAATACGTAAAAAGCGTCATAACTTTAATAAAATTTGAACCATGTGACACATGAAGTAAACTCTATAGTTCCGTTTATTCCTTTGTCTTTTGCATTGGACTTTGATTCCGCTTTTTTTTTTTTTTTATATTTGCATTCCTAAATGCATCGGGCTCCAGGGAAATATGAATTAAACATTCGAAAGTCTTCAGCTGCAACTAGGGCATCAGCATCTGCTTCAGCGACGCACAGAGATATTACCTCAGTTGGGTCATTCACAGGAGCCCGTATGACATCAATACACCCAATGAGCTATATGTCAACATCTTTTATACGTGAAGAGACAGAGCAGGACTTGAAGCTGTCGCGACAGTCGCGACGTGCATTATCCATACTCTCTGATGCAACCACGCGTGACATCAATACAGTAATACCATTAAGCAAAACCCGACCTTCAGCCACCGTGAAAGCTGCTACGGGGACAACAAGAAGTGACCATAGGAGTGCTCATACAACTAATTCGAGTGAAGACGCCTTTTGGAATCCACCTGCACCGCCGAAATCACTCAGACATGGTGCAGCTACTTTATTCTCAGGTATCAGCCCTCAGGAAAAAGCCACATCAAGCATATTTGATTTACGACCGAATATCCGAACGCGTTCTCCAGAAAGAAAACCAACTCAGTCATCGTGTGGACTCGTCCTAACCAGAGTATTACCAACAAATACTAACACAGGCTCGCCTTTCAAGTCAAGGTTGTTTCCAATGGCTGGAACATCGGCATCATCGTCGTCACAGAGCAATGGAGCTTTAACAAACAGCTCTGTCTCAAAAGACAGCGAAAATCTTTTAGTTACGGCATCGACTAGTTTCAACCATCCTTCTTCGACTTTAAACGAGTCACCTAAGACTGATTCTCCACAATTCGTGCAACAAATGGACAACTATGGGAATCAAAGCTACTGTGAAGAGTCAGATGTTGGTATAGTAGATGAGGTCCCACCCCAGAAAAAACCGTATGGCGTTAGTGCTTTGGACTTTGCAAGGAAATCCATAATGCAAAGTGCCGCTGTTTCGCCACAAAATGCCATCAGGAAGATTAACCGAGTGGCAGCAACGAGCGAGGGTGTACCATCTCTCATAGATCTACTGACAGCAACAGATGCCGAGGATTTAGAACAATCTCAATTACATACTTGGCAACAAAAAGATGCGTCGCAACGGAATTCTGCAAAACCAAACAGAGCTTTCATGTTGCGAACAGATCCACTACCACCGCTCCGCAAGGATACGGCACCGTCAGCATCAAAATCTTTTATACCCAATATTCCAGGTGATCCAGACTCTATTGAAAATAACATGGAGGATTTAGTATCGAGACCTAACCTCGAAGAAAAACAGATCCGAACAAAGAAAGACGCTCCTGAGGCGACAGAGATCACTAAGCAGGAGAACGGGCTCACAAGAGACACAGTAATGCTTGACCTAAGAGCGCCGGTAAGTACAGATTGCCTGGAATTTATGATCGAACTGTAGCATGTAGGTTGCAAGGATCACTGACAGTACTTTGATGCTGCAACTCTAGAGCACGACACCCACTGGACCGGGGGTTGATAACAATAGTACTTCCCCTCTCCTTTCGTTACGAGCAAGCACAATGCGCAAACCAGCACCATATACCCCTCCAACAATCAACGAACGAGCGATGTTACGTTCCAGTCGCATGTCTGGATTCCGCGCCAGAGGTCTAGATCCAAAAGTCTTTATGAGTGCAGGGGATTTAGGGGTCCCGAGAATTCAAAAAAGGCCTCTCACTGTGCCTGTGTCTCCAGTTTTCAGCAAAATGCACGGTAAATCTCGGGCTATGGAGGAATCCGGGCCAGCTAGGAGCCCTTTTTTTGAACCCAAGACCACATTCAGAGCTAAAGTTAATAGCCCCGTTGTTGACCACTTTAAAAGGACAGGACCAATAAGACCGCAACTGCGTAATAACAACATTGCCACGCTCAAAAAGCCAGAGGCATCATTAAGCGCAGTAAACACTAGCTCACAAACCCAGTCTACAGGTCAGGAGTACGCTGACTTGAATAATGTTCCTACTAGTACTAGTGATGCTAGATCAATTAATACTGAGATAGCTACCCAATTCCGGTCCGAAGCTGCCAGCCAACCAAATCTGGATGCGATAGCCGATATTGATAACGGATCAAATTACGAGGGTAGAGTAAGCAGAGTTTATGAAGGGCCTAGTCCAGTGGAGAGTCTTTCATCGAAAGCCATCTTTGAACAACCAGATGACCAGCTCTTGGATGGCCAATCCACAAGAGCAACAGCTGGGAGCCGTCTTCACGGCCCGTCGTTTTCTCGTCGTCCTTTGACGCAGCCAATTCCGTTTAAATTTGCTACAGATGAGATCCTCAGGCGGCGCCATATCATGTTTCAACCTCGAGCTACACCGGGTCTAGGAACAACGAATGAGGGTTCTTCAAAAACGGTAGAAGATAACAGAATGAAGACTGCAGAGGTTTTAAAGCGACGGCTACCTCCACTGGTGAGTTAGTTAAACCTTTGCTGTCGCTATTCCGTTTGAAGATAATATAATATATTGATCGTTAATTTTTTTTTTTTTTCTTTCCGTTACTTTTTTTATAATTATCACTTTCATTTGGTAGAAACGCCTAACAGTCCCGTTCCTTTCCAATTTATGACCCAACGACGTGCGGAAGCACATATCCAACAACAGCAACAACAAAGTCATCATCATCAAGATGATGGCGGAGCACATATTAATGCTCATACGACGGTCACCAGAAGGCCTAGTCGACTTGCTGGGCTCTTGCCACTTCGTTCAACAACACGCGTAGATGGGGCCTCATCTAATGCAAAGGCTTCACGATTTAGGCGTACTGTACCTATTTCACCAGAACTAGGCCGCCGAGCCCATGTAAAGGCTCTTAAACCCGCTCGGTTCCTTCTCAAAAAGAGCACCAAAGAGCTGACGCAACCACATGAATTCCACTTCTACACTGATCAAGTGCTAAGGAAAGGGAAGCATTTGATCAATCAGTTAGGAGACGAGAAGAGGAATTAGCGGCACTAAATCAGCGGGAACTCAAACTGCGCAAAGTACGGAGTGTTTGTGTTAAAAGTGATCAATATCAATCACTGGTAACGATGTGTATATCTCTGATGTCTCACAAGACTGTTATTTCTTTTTCAAAAATTATAAAAAAAAAATATAAAAAAAGGGTCGGGAGCAGGGTAGTGATAGTCGACAGAACCTCGAGAGGCCGTCTCAAACGCACTCTATCAATCATTCTCGACCGATTACAATTCATAGGCCGGTCAAACCGCTGACAGAGCCTGTGAGCCCCATGATTGGGGAGAAGCGCAAGAGGTATGAGATGGAGCAGCAACGGCATCCGTTTGAAAAGAGAAGGCAGCTAGAACCCACGAACGTTGGACAAGATAGTCTCCGTCAACCACCTGTCCGTTCTCCATACCCATCGGATCAACTATCTGAAAAGATACACACTAATATTTCTGCTATAAATCGCGACAATAAATAATGAAGATGTTGGCCAGTCAGGTTCTTATTTGGATAGAGCTAACATGGCTAATCCAATATCATCCGCAAAGGACAATTTTTGGAGGGAATGGAAACCACTATCTATCAAAGGAGCTCTTAACGAAAGAGCTTCGGCGTATCAGCTTTGAGGCTTCGGGGTAGTGGCGAAACAGGTTATCGCAAACGTTTGAGTAACAGCCCAAGCCGCACTAATAGCAGCACTAATAGCAGCACTAAGGATGTAAGCGAAAGTGGGCGTTTAAGCTCTGAAGGGATATCAGCAGGCCAAGGTGGATACTACCCATTTATACGATCTCTAGCGCCAACTGCGCCCACTGTTGAATCAGCAGCTATGCCTTTATCGAAGTCAGCAGAGCCGGAACCGGGAAATCGGCGAAGAAGTGGAAGCTTTATCCCGTTAGCTCCAGTCCAAATGGCAACAAGAAATTCACCAACACAGGCATCCAGACCGCAAGGAGCTACGACGTCGGCACCGTCTGCTCAATTGAACCGTCCGAAAGGACCAATTGTGATTAACCACACACTCACACTGAATGACCTTTGACCAACATCGGGTCTTAGACATTTCTTTGTAATTTTATTACCGGTATTTTTACTTTATTTTTTTTATGTTATAGAATAAATTACCCAGTTTCGTTCTAATTGATCTATGATAGAGACGGGGCCTGTTCTATACAGGTACTACGGAAGGCGGTTTTTGATTGAACAATGATCTCTGACAACATAAGATCAAATGCTGCCTGTGATCCTGCGTCCTGGAACATCAACTCTTTGACCTTGTTCTCGAGTTCAAATAAATGTCGATCATTTCCTGTTGGAGCCACAGTACGTAATGAATGGGCTAGGTTAAGCAGATAGTCTCTGTTGGCACCAACTTGGTCCTAATGGGGAAGAGTGATAACGATGGTAAGTCGTTTACTTAAAGATAAAATATTGGAGGAAAAAAAAAAAAAAAAAAAAAAAAAAAACATCCCTGAAAGATCCCATACCATGTGAAATGTAGATTTGCTTTGCAATTTGCTCCAAAGGTGCAGGTCCAGCAAAATCAGAGTTATTAGTGCTTCCAATGTATACAATCGCCTATAAAGCCATAAAAAAAATAAAATAAAATAAAAAAAACACTCTGTATTAGTAAGCAAGCTTGATTTTAGAGAGAAAAAAAATTTTATCTCATCAAATGAGATGATCCCAATACCTTTTCCACTACAGGAATGTCACTACCAGGTTGAAAGACATCCAAAAAGTGTGTTTCGTAACCATTTTTTTCCCGATGATCCAGATATGCTTTTGTCTCTGCAACCTTGGATAATGGGATCTTGTATGCAACACCCCAGGTGATATCGTCCTGATCTGTAGAATGCTATTAGTCATTAAATAAAATAAAATATGTAAAACGTTGGCTCTGCGGGTAATTACTCAGGGGCCACTGAATACATATTAATATTTCTAATGAGCTATGATGGTACTATGTACTGTACCTTATCGAGAGTTTTGAATCGTTCTGTGAACTCTTCATAAGGAATTAAAGTGACTACACGGCCTGGTGCCTCCTCGGTGCCTCGGTGGTCCGTGCTCCTCTGCCAAAACCGGCGGACATGACCTTTGATATACCCAACCTTGCTGTAATAATACAATATTAACAAATGTATATGTATATAAAAAAATAAAAAAATAAAAAAATAAAAAAAAATAAAAAATAAAAAAAATAAAAAATAAAAAAAATAAAAAATAAAAAACTTTTAAGCATGTCTTTTATTGCTTCACATTATAGACAACATGACATTGGGGTTTGAATGCAATGTTAAAGGAATGGGATGGAGCATTTAAACAAAAAAGCACTGTAAAAGAATGAAAATAGAATTTTCAGAAGAGGGACGAACCTGTCTTCGTATTCCATATCAGGGCGCCAAATGAGGCTGCCATATCCAAAGAGCCACATGGTTTAGGATAAGGTGGTTGGTTTGGTAGAGTGTATGTTGGGTTGGTGGAAACAGAGACAAGGGTTCCGAGAAGAATAAGGAGAGAGGAAGAGAGAGAGAGAGAGGAGGATAAATTGGAGTGAAGAAAAAAGACAAAGCTTTTTTAAATTAATAGCAACAGTGAATCATGGCCCAATGCGGACATGTGGGACAATGTGGATCGTTTTTGTCATCACGCAACAATTGATAGTTGAATAAGGAGTTAAAACATATTGATTGACCTGGATTCTTACATTTACATTTACATTTACATTTACATTTACATTAACATTCTTTTAAAAGACGACATGCAGGACATACAGACACTTCCTTGCATGACCAACCAAGGATAAGTACTCACACAGAAATAGGAACCAAAGGAGCCATAGGAACAAATTCAAGAGCAGGAGCATTCGAAGCAACCCCAGCTGAAATTCCAATAACTGACACAGCCTCTAATAATAATAATAATAATAACAACAACAACATAATGACAATATTGAAGGTCCTCTTCCATTGCAAACCCTTTGTCCCCTCTTTCCGCATCCTATGGTTCATGGACAGTACCTTCCTTTGACAGCTTCTTCTCGACGCGCCGTGCGTCTGCACTTGGAAGCCGGTATTCGAGCCTTATTTCATCACATACGTCCACGTTTATGCCCGCTGGAACTAAAATCATCACCTGCTCCCAGCGGGATGTCCGTGATGATGGATGGTGGAGGTATACAATGCAAAATAAGGCCCGTAAAAGTAAGAAAAAAAGTATTTTCGATAAAGATAACTGGGTACTGGAATGCTTTTTTTTTTTTTTTTTTTTTTTTTTTTTTTTTTCATCTTATTGCAGGAACATTAAAACATACTTTTTCTTATCTTACACAACCAGTGTCTTTACACATGTCAGAGTCGATTACAAGTGTATTGAATGACTCGTCCTTAGTGCTTTATAGAGTGAATGAGCACATTCACAAGAAAGTACCACAGTTAGTTGAGGAAAAGGTAAAAGCTTCAGTAGGTTACCAAAGAAAGAAAGAAAGAACACATCTATGGACCAGGATCTAAAAGCATTTGCACTATAATATATACATGAATGAAAATAGCGAGCACTGGCTTCGACATGCAAGAGCGTCGAGACAGCTAACCAAGACCTAGAAGATGCACGACAGATCATCTCTAGTATGCAATGGCTAACTGAGTTGAGCGAGATTGAGGCTCTTGTGAAGCGAGCATTGTCATGATAATTGGATTAATGCCAACTATTACACAAGCTGTCTAATAAACCAATTCGCCTTTTTTTTTTTTTTTTTTTTTTAAGAAAAAAAAAGTGATCCTCTTACAAGGGGGCAAATACCATACTTTCTTCTCGCCAATACTATATGGTTGTTACGATTGTTATGCATCCAGAGATTTATTCATAGATCTTTTTAGAACGGATATATAAAGACAGCATTTGGCGACACTCTACTACGACTACTTCCATTTTTTATTCATAACGTCAGAATATTGTGTGACGGACATGATGAGGCCTTAATAAAAGGTTCCCGCCTGCACGTCCTCCAATGTGATGTCTTTTTTTGATTAGGGAAAGTTCAGTAGTGACCTTGAAATATTCATAAGCGAAGAGATAGTGAGGTTTTTCTACCGCCTTTCCTTGTTTTATTGCCCTCGTATAATTTGAACTGGAGCCATCCTGGTCAGTTAATGGAAGAGATGTGGAGACGATAGGAATAGTCAGTGCAATCCAAGACTTCGTCTAGTGCCCTCTTCCTCAATCTTGCTGCTCTGATAGTTACATTATCCTCTCAATGTCCAGAGCCATCACCCAAATGCATAACGGTGTAATCGGTTGAGGACAACAACTGTCCCTCGGATTCGGCTTGCAACATTTTCCTTTCGTCTGCATCTATCCCGCCTTCCCTTGCCATGGAAGCCTTGTGGGACTCAATTGTTAAGGCCTGATAAGATGCTTTCTGCTATAACTGTGATCGACCTTTGTAGCATCCTTCAAATTTCTAATTGGTGCATCTTCTTTCTTGGCATTGTGCTTTTGCATTCGTTTTTTCTGTTGCTTCTTTTTCGCCTTCCTCCGATGGGTGAATGCATAAAACCCGGCCTCGGGTGCTCACGACAGTGATCGATATTAATTGTGGCGTGCGCTCAATATGTTCGACCTGTGAGATCTCCTGTGACTCTAAAAGTCAAGGGGATCAAAAACTGCCTTTATTATTGTTGCCAGGCGGGAACCTTTTATGGAGGTCCCTCCATGACTGCCACACAATGTTCTGACCTTATGAATAAAAATGGATGTTCCCCTGAGATGCACTCTCAAACCTCGATACGTGACAACTAGTCAGAAAAGATGGACCGGAACTGGTTTCTATGTGATCCTTTCGCTATATAGAATGATTGCGTATCTCTAAAGTTTTCAAGAAAGGACTAACGATTAGTACTGGACATATTTGATTTCAGGATCATAACTACGACTCGAGCTTTCTTATGTCCTGCGACGCTGCAGTCGTCCTTGATGAGCCACTTCACGGTGAAGATCCTTTCCATTGAGTTGATACCCCTTGAAGCTATCGAACTCAGTTTGATCGTGACTCTCGAATTGACGTTTGAAGGCTAGAGGTAAAGACTTCGAGAGCTACTTCGAAACTGAGGATTATTAATCAGGCCAAGCGTTTCAAGATTCTTTGAGTAATCATTGTCTCAAATTGCACAGAGCAGTACAGATGTTGGTGAGTTCGCAAGTCAAATACATATTGATAACGTCGACCACGTCATAAGCCCTAAACTTCCGTCGACGGTGCAAAAGGGACTGCACTAGCTTGCAGACTCGTTCGTACGCAAACAAACTAGAGCCTCTTGGGTATCACAATCCTACCATTCACCCCATCACGGTACTCTATGCATGGATCTGCTTCGTTTGCATACAGGCAGACATCGAAGACAGAGTGAAGGCCTGTTGCCAGCTGGTCCCTGTCATGGTCGCTCAGGATTGGATCTCTCGAAGGCCTTTTTGGATGCGCTTCATGGCTTGAGGACAAGTTCAAACCCCGTTCCGTGAATTTTTCTCAAAGATGCTCATATCGTTTTCCAAAGCGTCCCTCCTCTCTGTCTTCTGGCTTGTCGTTCCGTCCTTGCTTTTTCTTTCTCGGCGCAAGGACTCTCACTAATGTGTATGGTCAGATTGTTCGTTTTGAGAAGATCCTTCATCTTGAGAGCTAGGGACCTGCCTACATCGATGATGGGCTTGCATTTGATCTTGTATGGACTACTTTACTGTAGATGCTATGATCGAACGTGTCAAAGAAATCTATGAGCAAAATGAGCAGAGTTTTCCGCCAAGGAAGTGCCTATGTCAGCTTCCGGAGGCGAAACCCCGCAATCCGCGAGTATTTGAAGGACTGCAGTCCTGTGGCTAATGCTTAAGCAAAAGAAAGGAAAAAGTGGCGGCAGCGATAAAAAAAACGAAAAGAGGTATTTTTTTTAAGGCTCAACATTCAGCAGAGAAGGTTGATGAAAGATACAGGAACAAGAGGGCAGTGGTAACAGAATCATTACGCCAAGATGATCATTTGAAAAAAGT